CAAGCATGTAAATGGAGATTATCGCGGCCAAAAAAATTATCAAGCTCATTTTATTTATCGTGCGATTAGTTGATTTATCGCATATCGTGACAGGCCTATCCATTCATACCTTTTATTACATGTCTACAGAGATCCCTGTTGACATGTTTTATTTACATTGAATGCCTGCTATTGATAATGCATTAAACATCAGCAGCTTAAAAGTAACTATACTCTGAGTAGTTTTTGAGAAGAATACTTTGTAATTTTACTTAAGTATTTAACACCGGTAGTTTTACTTGTAGTTTGAATATTATTTCAGTAACGTAACAGTGCTTCTATTGTCACAGGTGTGGAACTGAGCAGTGGTACACATGGATTTGAACCCAGATGCAGACTAGCAGAGCAGAAGAAGTTCAATGGTTTAATAACCAAAACGTACAGGTCCAAAAGGCATTAATCTGAAACAATCACAACAAAGTAAACAGGCAAATCCAAAATCCAACAAACAAAGGAGAAAATCCCAAAACTGAGGAAGTAGTCCATAGAAACACAAGGAAACACAGGGGAGCATGCAGAAAGCAACACATGAACAAGGACAAACCAGCACAGAGTGAAGGAGACACAGGCAGGAGGGGAAACTACACAGGTGGACACAATCAAGGTGATGCAAACAATCTGAGGGGAAAAAGACAAAGACAGGAAGAAAAGTAAAACAAGCCACAAGAGGAGGAAAACTACAAAATAAAACAGGAAATAACCAAAGAAAACCCAAAACAATTACATCTACTTGAGTACAGATTTTCAGTACTCTTTCCACCGCTGTTCATTCATTAGATTTATAATGAAACTCAATACATTATGGTGGACTCATAATTATGTTGTATGGTACAAGAGTCTACACTGAGTAACTCGGCGGCATGTAAATCAAAGATGTGTGGAGATGTATTCCCTCTAGTTTGATAAGAAATAGCAGGAAACATGACCTTTTCTTGGTTTAATGTATTCTCTTTTTAAAGTAAAGTATTTGCACTTGGTAGAAGTATTCCTATTACAGAGATTTTTCAAGTAAAAGGGCAACAAGAACATTTGACTCTAACACACATTTGAACATTCGACGTGTAAAGGTAAACAGAAACAGCAGTGCTACAAGGAATATTTAAACATATCTTTGTGTGTGGAGGCAAATAGCACAGTAAGACAGTATGCTGTGTGTGTTACCTGTGTGCTGAGGGGCTGTCCGTTGCGGAGCCAGCGTACGGAGGGTCGTGGTTTACCGGCGGCAACACAGCTCCAATGAAGCTCTGAACTGATCTCCACCTCGGAGTCACTCATCACCTGCAGCCACTCGGGCTGAGCTGAAGGTTTAGAAGGAGAAAAATAAAGGAAATAAATAGATCATAAAAATAAGTAAATAACACTGATAAAACAGAGACAGAAACTGGATGAATAGAAATGCATTAAGGCCCTGATTGGAAGATGCATTGATTAATGACTAATATTGAGGCTTTAGTAAGACTGCCATTGTGACATTTCTGTAAAAGCAAGCAGGATGTTTATTCAGACATAAGATGGAGATGTTAAAGTACCATAAAATTAACAAAGGGCTACATGTGTGAAAGGGAAATAAAAACATCACAAACAAAACATCCTCTCTTTACCTTGAACATTGATGCGTCCCTGGTATGTGTCACTTCCCTCTGAGTTGTAGGCTTCACACTCGTAAACACCCTCGTCATCGAAGGAGAGTTCTGGCAGGTTGAGGGTGGGGCCCTCTGCACTGGAGCCCGCCTTGGACGGCATCAAACCGTCCACCTTCCTCCATCGCAGTTTTGGGACTGGACTATGAGACAAAATATAGAGAGAGGAGTTGGAGGGGACACCGTACAGGAAGAAGATGTGGTAATTTCAAGATGAAACAGCACAGGGACTTGCAGACATTATGCAATGATTTCAGAGCTTGAAACATACTTTCCATATGCAAAGCACTCTAACTGAGCAGTGTGTCCTGCGAGGCCGTAGGTCTCTGCTGGGAAGCGCACTTTGATGCTCGGAGCTGACTTCCTAGGATTGGCTGAAATAAAACATATATTCAGATTAAATCCCATTCAAATTGTGCACCTTTTATTTAATCTAAGAACAGGATGGGGCATTTGCACCGCTACTGTAGCATATATTACATTGTCCCTACAGTGTGCTGTATGAATGCTGTATGTGCAGAGTTT